TGGCCGCACACAATTCAATGCATTCAATATTACATGTGTATTGTACGTCGTACGGATTAACAAACTGAAAGCTGAAATGCAGTATACAAATTAAAATTTTACCTTTACTATGGAAAATCCATTCGCTTTCGCTTTCTCTGTCTATCTATCTATCAATAGTGTCTATTGGCGTTATATCTAAAATCAACGAAAACCTATTGGCAACAAATATTTCATCAATGTTTCAAAATCGCAAGCATTCACCATAAACAATCCCAATATTTTATTCATTTCGTTTACTTCATGTAAACGAAAGACCAAAAATAAATTTCCATCGTTTACGTAAATATTCGTTAGTCTGATTTTACCGCATACCTTGCGGAAAGGACTACAAGCATAGATCCACAGTACATATATGTAGTTGTTGTCATTGCGGAGTGTGCAGAAAAGTATGTGCGAGAGAGAAAGAGAGAGAGAGAGTTGTCTGAGTATTGCGCGGTTGCTAACAAATGTTCGAGACCAAAATGCATTAAATTCAATTGGCAAGAGAAACGAAATGTGAAATTCAGCTACTATAAATTTCCAAATGAAACACCACCACACAAAAATGATTCGATGTGGCCGAAACTGTTCGACTTTTGTTCATGTTCAATTTCGGTACTGTGCTATAACTATGTTATGAACACGTTTATATCTCTTATAAATCGTGTATTGTATAATTATGGTTGAAATTCTGTCGCTTTCGTTAGCATTTTCCAGCAAATTTAAGGGGAGAGACACTAGAAATCATCGACAAGAGGTGCTGAGCAATGGTATCCCTTTTGCACTTCACATGCCAATAATCGTGCATTTGACTTATATTAAATGATGCAGACATTTGTCATTTGTCTTGTACAATATACGTGCATACGGTATGCCTGTATGTACAGGTTATGTATGTAGATGTCGATAGCATATAGAATAGCATTTAAACTGGCACCACATCGTTATGTACTTACGTTTAAACTAATTCATAAGACACAACCACTTAAAATTGGAGTATGTTTTCAAAACTCTAGATTACCAGCCATTTGCAGTGTTCTATTTACGTATGAGATGAGATATTTCTTTAACATGGTCGTCCCAGAATATGTTCGTTCATTCTTTCTTGTTTAGGTCGAATTTCTTTAGGGTCTTATACACAACATTGATCTAAAATTCAAATTTTTAAACTATTTTCAAATTCAAATTCTATTTGTTACACATTCCCGAGAGTTATGTCAGTTTTGAATGGTTGTGTACATTATTTTGTTGGAAAATATCAAAAGATAGGTATTTGGAACATGCCATTTATTTGATATTTTCCAAAAAATAAATGTCTGATGTTACGATTTCCCTTTTGTTTATATTAATCAAGTGAAATTCACTTTCTGTATCATTCTTTACTTTGATAAATGTCGACCAACCGAACTGATCAATGCAATCGATGAATAAACCAGCAAACCGTTCGGTTATACTAAGTTCTCTCATAGAGGAACCAATTCAAATGTTGTGGTTCGACCGCATTTTCCAAAACAAAACTAATCTTTTTCAATTTGAATTTCCTTTGCCATTTTCAAAGTAAACACGCACTTAATATAGCAACAATTCTTTAGAACAAATTCCATTGGCTGTATGTGTAAAAGAGAAGACGAAGATAGAAAATGAAAAGCCGGCTTGCAAGCTGTTTGATTAATTTATTTTCACTTTAAAACCTAAAGCCATCATTAAATATTTTTGTTCAATTTGAATATTCATAATGTTCGCAAAGGCCACAAACTCCACATTCAAAACCATGCACGGTCGATGAACGTTATTCTTTTAGATGCTTTGTGTACAGCTAGTCGTCAACATGGTAAATACCTAAACAAAATTGAACATCGGGGGAGATACAGAGAGAGAACAAAAAAACTGCCGCGTAAGGGCACGCATTTTTGAAAAGACGTTTTTCATTTAACAAGCACTGAATAGATACATTCATTTAATGTTTTGGTTGTTGGTGAATTGCAGGTCACCGTTACGTGTGGGCCAACAAAAGAACGTTGTCGTTGTCATGTTGTTGATGTTGTAGCAACCGATCTTTATTGTACTTCAACGTATTATCAATTTTATGACTATTATTACAGTTGGAATACGACACCTCAATGTTTCTCTTTATAAGGTGCACATTTGTTACTTCAACTCAAAGCTTTGCTTACTTTTGTTGTTTATACTATATTTGCTCCCCTGTTTTGTTTCATTTTTCGACATGGTACCAATTTTTTTCAGACGAACTCTGTTCGGGTCTGAAAAAGAAATGGTCTGTACCATACCACAGTTAACATCAATTCATGACTAAACGAGAGTGATGGCAAAAATAGCTAATTCAAATGAATAGATCCATAGATTATGCAGGAATTGAGAGGGAAAAAATGCGATATATTCTATTCAAAATACACAAAATACACCGACCACCGTTGTGAATGTGCAATCTGATTGTGAGGATCCAAAGAAAAAGTCAAGTTGTTTCAAAAACATTCATATATACACACAATATTCTCCTCTCTCTCTCCCTCATTTTCGTGCTATCGGTTAGCCGATTTTCATTTCTTCATTTCATCTTGTTGCCATAAACAATGCAAATATTTAACGCGCCCGCCAGTGGAACGAGACGAAAAGCCGATGTCATGGTAAACATTGTATCCAATATAGACGACACAAAGTATTTACTGCACAATTCAGCTACGTTTCTTTCTTCTCTCATATAATTTTCCGCTTTCACCCGGTCTCTAGATTTTTTTGTGCTCTCTGTCGACTGTATGTTATAAACATACCGCCACGTCAAAGAATATAAAATCTAAGAAGCGGTTTCGTTAATGAACACTGAAAGAGATTAAGATTAGTCGTTTGTGTAAAGCCAAATTTTGTGGATCATTAATATTTTCCCATTTTGCGAAGTTTGTGCGTGTGCGTGCCAGAGAGAGAGAGAGAGAGTTTGTGTTCTCTTTTTCGATTCCTTTATTTCCACTTTGTTTCCTTTCGTTACAGAGTTTTGCATCGCTATTTTTTAAATGAATTCATCTTCTTCTTTTGCTGTATCGTTCACACACTTTGTGTGCTTAATTCAAGCTCACAATAGCTTTGTGACTCAAACTCAATGCCGTGGTTGTATCAACGTTGAATGAAATGAAACTGTCATAAGATGCGCTCTCAACAAGATGTTACGATGATTCTTTCAATTTCATAGCTTTTGTTTTTGTCTTTCAACTTGCCTTTCTTTCGCCTCCTCCCCCACTCTCTCTCTCTCTTTCACATTTACTTTCTCATAACCATTTCGTTTACCCCGTACTTTCCTTACGCACGTAAGGCGATTAAAATGTCCTCTACAGACTGTTCATGATGTGTACAAATCAAGATCTTCTTCTATCCTTCTATCGTCTTTTGGTTTTTTTGTGTGTGTATTGAGCGCACAAAAACCGTTTTTCTACATTACGTGTTAACGAACCAACGAAGACAATAGTCTCGTTATTGCGTCAATAACGTGAACTTACAAATACAAACAGAAAAAAATAGACACCGTGTCGCATTGTGATCAAATGAAATACACACTTAATTTAAATAAATTAATTTGTTTTTCTTCAATTTTCAGTGTGCTTGTGCATGCATTTGGCGAGTCATTTTGCTGAGGAAAAATTGAGATACAGATAAAAATGTGTCTGGCTTAATTTTGTTGTGCGGACGCGATGAGCTGAAATGGCTAAATTATCGCGTGCGCTTGGTATCTTTTTTTGTTCGTTTTCAAAGAAAAATAACTATGGAAATGTAATTGAAATCGGTAGCAGCCGTAGAGACTCGCTGCCAAAGTGAGATAGAAATTTAAAAAAAACGGTAGAAAGAGTATCTTATAATCTAGCGACGTTCATTAAACTATACGTACAATTCAGTTGACACCAACACTGCAATGAGATTATGTGCCAGTGCCGTGTTTTTGTTCAAATTGTCGTTGCTCGCAAGAATATCATCGATCTACTTATGTATATAAATAGCGTAATATTCGCATTTATTGAATGTACGAGGAAAAAAAATACATACATAACGGATTTTATAGGTTTTATCCATTTCAATGATGGTCTATGAGTGTTGATACATGGCAATGTCAGATATGCACATTCGAAAAATGTCGTTTAAACCATAACTACCCACAATATTGGTGGAGATTAGCGTAAAGTTTTTAATTTTAAATTTTCTCGTTCTCACACACAAATCCGCAATATTGGAAATCGACGCCCAAAGTGTGTCATCTAAGACATAAAACCAAACGATTTTCTATCGAATTGTATTCGATCATTCCATCATCTTGTGCAAATTTCTACCAGCTCATCAGAGCAAAAATATTGAATAAGAAGCGCTAATCTGTGGCGTGAGCCCTTGAGATGATGTTACCGATTAAATCGATTTTTACAATTTTTCTTTCGCCAACCGTTTTTTTTCTCTTCTTTCACACATAGAAACTCTCTCACTCTTCTGATTGACGTTCGCGCCATGCTCACTTTTTCTCCTTTTCGCGTCGTTTTTATTCGCATTATCATAATTTTCCAATAAATATCGAAAATCTTAATGGCTTATCGAACAACAATGATTTAGATGTTTGAAATGAAAACGAGAAGAACGAACGGATGAACGAGGCAAAAGCGAGTCAAGCCAAACAAAGATATAGGCTGTATATTTTCTCGTTTCTCATGCTCAGTTTTTTTTTTGTTTTTTCCTTTCAAGATTAGAAACATTTAGTCAAGTTGTTGATTGCCGTCGTTTTGTACATACTTTCGATGCTTTTTTTTCATTTAAATATCCAAAGGAATTGGCGAAAATGGGGAAATAAACGAGTAAACGAATATATGAATGAAAAAAAAAAACGCAAATAGCGAAGTGAATGTGTAAACCCTTCCATCATTGCTTTTAAATGAATCATTTGCATAATTTACTAATCAATTTTCATTTTAATTTATCTTCTCTATTTCTTGCAGTGAATCTTAAATGCGACAAAACTTGATGATGCTAATATAGTTGGCTTTAAACGGAACACTTTTAAGACTTGCCAAACGGTTAGGGTGAGGCCAACGAAATGTGTACGCGTTATAAAAGAAATTACGATTAAAAATAGCATTGAATAAGACGTATAAAAAACAGCGACCGAAAGAAAAACTCAAATAAAACAAAATACATTGCGATATAATTCAACTGAAAAGAAGCGAGACGCTAAAAAAATATATATACACAAAAAACTGATACGAACCTTTTTGGTCGAAAATAACGAAACAAAAAGAACAGCAAAGAGAGAAGCAAAAGCATACGGATCAAAAATACGAGCGTTCGCCGTCACATTGTCTAGCAAATCATTTTAAAACGCACAAAAGATTAGTTCGCCAAAAGATTAGAGCCGTGTACAGCTGCTTAAACATGACGAGAAAAAAGCGAGGATTCTGCAACTGGTTTAATTTGGTAGCTGCAATATGGATAATCATCTCTGAAATATTCCTACACGGTAAGTTGTTGAGATTTAAACAAAAAATTTGAACTTGACTTTCATTTAATTTTCGATACAACACCAAATTTACAATTGTTAACATTTGTGTCTAAATTTAATACGGTAATTTTGCTCTTGCCAAACTGAGGATACGACACCAAAGCAGGGATTGTTCCTCTAACGAGAAGAAATGGTGAGAAGGAGAACGCTGAGAAGGATCCTTCTCATCAAGAGGATCTTCTCCAGCGGAACAATCCCTGAATTGCCGTTAACCGTTTTCAACTCATTACAATTTGGAAGTGAAATGGTTTGCTATGAAAGCATATGCTTTTATAATGTCCAACCAATTGAAATATATATTTAAAAAAACTGTTATCAACATTCTAAAATAGCTGCGTGACAAAAAAAGACAGCAATAACATCCAATAAAGAACAAACCAATCGTTTTATTATCATGTTGCTTTCGATGACTTGCGCATTCGGTAATTTTTTTTTTTTTTTTAATTTTTTTAATTGAACATAAACATTTTATGTATGCACAATGCTTAGGTTTTTTATTGAAGATTTTGCTATCGCATCAGCGTTTAATCTAAATATAAACATGTTTTTTAGCATTTTCATGGGCGAGTAGAGTTCAGAGTTGATCAATATGTTATATAATAAATTGAATGATGTGATTCGTTTTATTTGAAACATCTGGCCATTATTTTTCACTGTTTTTATATCTCGTTATTTCTACTCAAATAAAATTGTAATTAATTTTTCAACTTAATTAAAAAACAAACGATAATGAGTTCTCACCGCAAAGAAAACAACATCAAATTTTCGATGACAGTGACTGTCGTCAAGCTATTCATTTTGGCTTGTTCCAGTAATAAGTGGCTTAAAATTTAACTCTTATCAAGGTCATTAAAAATGATCCTGAATATTAAACTCGAAGTCGTTTTTTTTCTTCTATCTCAATTGAGCTTATATCAGTTTTGTGTTTTTTTTAATGGATTTTAACCATATTTGCGGATTACATTTCAACCAAAATTATATGGTGCTAAATGCTAATTCATTTTATTTATGCAATACCAGAACAGGTTGATTGAACAAAACAAATTCAATGTGTAAATATTCAATGAAAACCAAACCGCAACAATTGGCATGGAAAATTTAAATTATTTGAACCTAATTAAATCACTCTGTGCGATTTTCGTTTATCGCACTTTTTTTCTGTTTTGTCATTTTTTTTCGTCTACAATTCACACTTCTCATTGATGAGCACCAATATTTCAATTAAATAAATTATGTTAAACAAAATTTCAATTATTTTTATAGAATTGAACATATGATATCCTCACCGTTCGGTACAATTTTTATGTAGAACAATTCATTTCACATTGTGCAATTGTGTTTATTATTGTTTTTGTTATTGTTTATTATAAATGGATATATCATACAGGCGGGTTAAATCAAAATTTACGTTTGCCGCTCCACCTCCACACAGTCCACAGAACCAAAACGAAATTGAAGATGTTTTTTGCTATTCACTTTTCGAACGGATAAACAACCCCTTAACTTCTCTATTGTGCCCAAATCGGTATTGTATTCAAACAAATCACATTTTATATACAAGACATTGAAGATTTGCAGCTTCAGTTCGATATGTTATGCTCTAATGGTGAAAAAAAAAATAGTCGCCTAGCACTTTGGCTTCAAAAAGACATCATATTCAAACAATTATCACGTAACATGCCAATTTATCTTTCTGTCTCCATCTCTTTCTCAAAATTCAATACAATAGACTTTTGGCAATGATTTAGTATGATCTGCAATAAAAAAAATAGTTGCAAATCTCGATTTATTTGCTTTCATTTGTCGTCTGATGATTATACCATGAAAAAGCGTACGACAACAGCAATAAAAAATACCAATCATATTTATCAGGACCGCTGTATAAATCATGGAATAATTTCGTCGATTATGTCAATATGCGCGCGTGCGAGGCCAAACCATTCAAGGTATCTCAAGAAAATGATCATTGATAAGAAATGAAATCGATGTGGCAAAAAATATATAGATGGACTGACATTGTGACTATTAAAATTCTAGAAAAAAAAAAACATAATTTGATAAATTAAGCACGTAACAATTTTGTTTTCATTTTAATTTGTGGAATTGATTTTTGAATTATGAATATTCAATAAACGGTATTTATTTCATTATTTCGAATAAATATTGGTTTTTTTTTATGAAAAAAAATTGATCTGAAAACCAATCCGATAATCTCTAAAACTATGTTAATCATTTTTGTTTCATTTTTTTATATGATAAACTTCACTATCGACATTTGCATTGAAAAGCTGCTTGTGAAATAATCCTTTCGAAATGCAATATTATCGGTCTAATAATTGCTTTATTGCTCTATCGTGTTGCATGCCTATTCAATGTTGTATTGGTATCTGCTTTAAAGGAGTGATACAATTTTGAATGACGATGACGCTAATTATATAAAATCATTAGCTATGACACAGCAAACTCGATGATTTTTGTATATAAATTTCATAATGGTGTTTGATTCAAAATTTTAAATTCAATACAAAAAGTGTACGAAGCGGAAAAAATCTGGTTGAAATTCTGTGGCATAATGGGCATGTACCATGGATAAGAAAGACAAATGGATGTTGTTGGTGTTGATGATGGATTTTGAGCAGAAATTTATGGCGCGATAATAAAGTGAATAGCTGATGCGATGAACAAATAAGCTTATCAAATCAATTACACGGCAAATTGAAGTATTTAGCTAAAATTATGATTGGTATTTTATTGAAATTTGTCTCTTATGTGCATGGCATACAGACCGGAATGCGTATACATATCCGTTTTTACATTGACGTAAAATCCGATTGTAAAAAGTGTCAACTGTTGTGTCGACTACAGAGTTATTTAGAATGACAGAGGAAAAATGATGTTGACTATAAATTATATGAAATAAAATATGAATGTTGGACATTGTCGCAAATTCCAACATTTCATTTATAAATTATGATGAGCAATTACAACGATTGAATTGGTGGTTGAAGGCATTCAATATGAATGCCATTGGCATTCATATGTTGCATATATTGTAGAGTTTGTGCATGTTACATCAAAAATATCTCTCAACGCAAAAACAATCGTTATCTAACAATCCTTTTCGTTCTTTCGTTCGTTCGTTCGCTTACGCACACAATTTGCAATGTGAAATATGCTCATTTTGACTGGGATTCGGATATAATTTATGCGATGAAATATAAACTATATAGCCTTTTATCTGTGCACCAATTACGGGCATATTTCCATGAAAATCTTTGCATTATCTTACAAATCTTACATAAGCTTTAAATAATGCGCATTCAAAGTTAAATTAGCAGCAATGAAATGAATGAAGTAAATACAAACGACAATCAAAATCACTGAGACTAACAAAAAAAAGATTGTGGACGAAGAGATTGGGCTCGCGAACAGAATGACAACACCATTACTCAACAAAAATAAATGGAAAAAATAAACAAGACGAACAGGTCGTTCATCAAGCATCAATATAAGCGATATGGCAACAGCAATTGTTCAACAAAGAAAATTAAAGTAATTTATCGGTAACGGTTACGCGTCCAATTAAAAATGCAAAAATATAAATAATCAACATATTATATTGGCATATCAATTGAAACAGCACAAATATCTCATAATCTTATTGGCACACAAACAAAAACGGTTCATCTTCTTTAGCGATAATTATGTGAATTTAATAACAAATTATAAACATATGCCAAAAGGGAGATAACGAGAGAAAAAAAGTAAGATTCGAATATGCATTGCGATAATTGTAATTTGGACACTATAAATACCGTCAGGTTTGCGGAGTAAATTCAGTCAACAAGATGAAGACGATCTTAAGTGTTCTATTTGTTAGCATTGTTGCGGGATCGTACGCCTTCAGTGGCGGTCGAACCGACTTCAAAACATTTGATGCCGCAACCGTTCAAAAGCAAAAGGCAATCTTTGAATTGCTTCAACATCCATACCAACCAGGCGTCTCGGTCTACAAACAAGAATTTTACGACATCGTACAAGCATTCGACTTCGAAAAAAGCTACAATCTCTTTAGCAATGTTGATGCCGTAAAGGAATTTTACTATCTCTACAAAAAAGGTTTGATGCCGTTCAATGAATTGTTCTCAATTTACAATGAGCAACATCGTCGCCAAGCCATCGCTTTGTTCCATGTATTCTACTACGCCAAAGGTATGTATTTATTTGATTTACATTTTTTTTTGAATCGAATACAAATCAAAGCTCAAAATGAATTAAACTAATAATGGCCGTTTGGTTCATCTTCATTTGAATATCTTATCTAGATTGGGATACATTCTACAAGACTCTTCTCTGGGCAAGATACAATGTTAATCCCGGACTCTTTGTCTACTCATTGCACGTTGCCATTGTTCACCGTACCGACTTTGCCAAATTGCAACTTCCTGCCATTTACGAAATCTTCCCACACTATTTCTTCAGCTTTGATGTCATTCAACGTGCTCAATTGATGAAACAACAAGGATTCGCTGGCGTTAACAAAATCGATAACAATGTTTATAACTATGTTATTGCAGCCAATTACAGCAACAGCTATGTTCACTCATACGATAGTCAAGAAGTTTCATACTTTACCGAAGATATCGGTTTGAATGCCTACTACTACTATTTCAACATTGATTTTCCATTTTGGATGGGTAGCTCCGAATACAATTTATACAAAGAACGTCGTGGTGAATATATAATCTTCTTCTACCAACAATTATTGGCCCGTTACTACTTGGAACGTTTATCCAACGATTTGGGAACGATTAACGAATTTTCATTTTACGACGAAGTCACCGGCTATTATCCAAATCTTCGAACCTACTATGGATATCCATTCAAATCACGTGAAGATGGCTATGTCGGTTACCGACAAGGAAACTTCTTCAATATCGATTTCATCAATGCGTATGAACAACATTTGCTTGAAGCCATCGATTCGGGACGCTTCTTACTCAGCAATGGTACATACTACGATTTCACTTATCCAGGTGGTATTGAGCATTTGGGCAATGCACTTCAAGGAAATCCAGACAGTTTGAATTACAAATACTATGGCTATATGTGCATGGCATACAAAACATTCGGCAATTACTTAGGTATTGGACAGTACTTCCAAGGAACCGTTTATCCAAGCGTTTTGGCACAACCAGAAACCACACTGCGCGATCCAGCTTACTGGATGTTTATGAAGAAGGTCTTTAGCTTTTACGACAAATACGTAACAAACGCTGGTCCATATGCTGTTAAAGAGATCGCTTACGATGGTGTTAAGATTGAATCGGTTAATGTTGATAAACTGACCACATACTTCGATAAATTTGATGCCGATATCTCAAATGCTGTTGACGTTCAACCATTAACTGAAGACATTAAGTCAGAACTTATAACCTTTGGTCGTGTTCACCATTATAACGGTGTAGATTATGTTATCAAAGCTCGCCAATCACGTTTGAATCATCTTCCATTCCAAGTTAAGATAAATGTTGTTTCAACCGTTGCTACTCCATCGGTTGTTCGCATCTATTTGGGACCAAAATACGATGAATATGGTCACATGATCAATGTAAATGAGAATAGATACAACTACTTCCTTTTGGATATGTTCAAATATGATATGACCACTGGTAATAATGTTATCACACGCGAATCTGTCAATTTCTTCCATCAAGTTAAAGATCGTACCACATACTATGAACTTTACCAATCATTGATGACCACTGTTGTTGGCCAAACTCAATCGGAGAATGTTGAAGCTCACAATGGATTCCCAAGTCGTTTGCTCTTACCAAAGGGAAAGAAGGGCGGCCAAGTCTATCAATTATTCGTACACATTTCACCATACCATGCACCACAAACTCCACCAACTAACGATTATGGAACATTCGCATATGGATTTAATTATGTTGACAATTTACCGTTGTATTACCCATTGGACCGTCCCATCGATGAATACTACTGGTACACACCAAATATGTATTATCAAGATGTAACCATCTACCATAAGACCGAAAGTGAAGCCAACAGTCCATAAACGTGGTGGATTCCATTTTATCGAAACAAAACTCAACACTATGACTTATCCGGACTTGATTCTTGATTTTTGAAAAACTCCTTTCTTTATTATAAATTATTTTGTTAGAATTGTTATTTAGTTTTCATTGAATAAATGGAAAAAAGCAAAATGTTCGTTTTCTTTAACAACAAATTATCAATTGTTTTTTTTTTAATACAGAAAATGAGCTCATTTTTGTTGCGGCACTTGTCTGTGCGATCTTTTTATCTACTTAACAATGCACTTGCTTTTGAATTCAAATAAAATAAAATTTGAATAGGAAACCTCAGTGGCAGAGAGCAAAATATCAATACATTCATATATGCATATTTGTTTCCTTTCAAATTGAGTCCCTCTCTCTCTCTTTGTGTATGTTGGCGACAATATATTTGCAGTAAATTCACATGTTCATTTGTTTTTTCCCCATGTCAATGTGATGATGAATTTCACTCGTTTTATTCATTCTCTATTTTGTTTTTCATGCACACAGCCTTTTGTTTGAAAGATCTAAAGATTTTTGTACCGGAGGCGGTTATAACAGGAAATGCAGCCACGCTATCATGCCAATACGAATTGGAACAAGTAAGTTGAACTGATATCTAACATTTGTTGAAAAATATAAAAGAAAAAGTTCGCTATACGTTTGTGTTATGGTGTGTGTATCATCACATCAACCGTCACCATCACCATGCAATGAATCTCATTTCTCTCCTCTTTGTTACACATTTCTAGCCATTGTTTTATTTTCGGCATTTCATTTCCATTGCTGTAGAAATACACTCTCGTAATTTTCACACAAATCTCAAACGATAAAAAAAAACACTCAAATAAAATAATAAAAAGAAAATAACAACAACAACAGAGAGAAATAGAGTGAAAAGAAAACCTGCTGAAAAATAAAAATAAAACTGAAACGGCACGGAATAAAAGATGTGAGAGCTGCAAATGAGTTGACGCCATTCAATAAATAATAATGATCTAACAATTGTGTGTGTGAATATATAATAATAAAAACTGTAAAATATATATATTTATCTTTTATTTGCTTTTGTGATGATGTTTCTGTTGCTGCCACTCGCCCTTAGGCTCCGCTGTACTCTGTACGATGGTATTTCGAGAGTGAGGAATTTTATCGCTACGTTCCAAAGGAATCGCCACCATCAATAGTGTTTCCCGTATCCGGTATAACAGTAGATGTGAGTATATATATTTGATTTTTGTTTATAATATAGCATTCGGTAAGCTCATCTATTTCATTCAATCCAGTGTCGTCTTGATTGGTTTTTATACAAACAAATGTGAAAATTGATATAAATTAAGAGCTGAAATTTTCTTTTCAGCACATTGTATAGTAATTTTGACATATAAATGTTGAGGGAACTTTTGCCGCACGTTACCACTACAATTTGCAATTGTGGTGTAAAGCAACGTTTTTATTATCATCTGCATATCACATTCTTTGATTCAATCTAAACTATTTCACTAATTATTATTTCCAAAAACATGAGTTTTATACAATTCAGTAGTTGACAACTTAAACTAGGACACAATATATGACATGTCAAACACGTGACGTGTATGCTTAACGCTCACATAAGCACAACATTTTCCGCTTCAATTATAATTTTAAAAAGTTTTCGTTCATCATGTTTTTCCGCTAAGTTTGCAATTGACATAGAGTTGTTTAAAGTAGAAAAAAAACGATATCTTTTTCATGTTATTGCTTTGCAATTTTCAAGCGACATGCACAAATCTCTGTGTGCGCGTGTGTTTGCATTATATGTTAAACCGATTTAAAGATACATTTGATGAAAATTTATTCGGTGAAAATAGATTCTTAGGCGGCTGAGTGAACGAAAGAAAGACATATTGTGGAGCAACGACAACGAACGGATGGTGAAGAATGAAACATGCATGCACACATTTCATGAGCTTAATTTACATAAAAAAAACACTATTTTCTGGAATTTTTTTGATTCCCACATATTGACATATTTGAATTTTAAAGTAAGAAAATGAGGACGAACAAAGCGAAAAAAGACTCTGAGCCAAATAAAAAGTAATATTCATGGAAAATGAAAAATTTCAATGCAATTTAAAGCTCCTGAATAACACTAAACTCAAAATAATATGAATCAGCACAACACTAAGTAATAAAAAAAGAGAGAAGAGTTTTGTCACAGACATTTATGAATGCTGAATACGACATAGTGCCGAGCGTACGAATCGTATCAACAGCGCACACATAAGCGAATGACAACAACAGCCCGAAAATTTTGTTTATGTGTCTAGCTTTTATCTCGTCAAAAAAAAAATTCCGTTATATCGGTGTCGTTTCGTTCTCAACTAGGGGTAAAACTTATTACTGTTAATATTTTGTACCATGGACAAGTCATTGTTCAACTTTTGATTATATTTTTCGGCCATGTGGTAAGTGAAGCTGCAAACAAATATTTGTTTGTCACGAAGCTCATAATTAATGGTCAAGGATTTCGGAGTGAACGCTCTGAATAGTTGCTTTTAATGCCAGCTTGCGTCCTTGGCTTGAATGTAACTTTTGAATGTATTTCGTTGCGTTTCTATAGAAAATTCTATATAGCCTATGAATATAACGTTTTTGGTCGTTTTTTTAAGCTGTTGAATTCTTTCGTTCCGGTTTTTTCCTTTTTTTAAATTCGATGCATCGTTGCATTTAGTATATGTTATTTTGCTTACCTTTTGTTTTTACTCATATGAGATGAGAAAAAAATATACGAATATTGGACGGCACTGATGCTCACTTGAATGTCACATGATTGCGCGCTTGTAGTTGATAGGGCTTATGTTGTGTTGTGCAGTGTTTGTATTTTTCTACGTTGAGTTAAACGAGTTGGTTGAGAAATTTTTAAAAGACTTTTGTAAATTCCCTTTCTCACTTTAAACGACCTTTCCATCCAAGTTTTACTCGTCTCTGTCGTTCGGTGGAATCGAGTAATCGCTTATTTGGGCAACAAAACTGTATATATACTATATATATATATTCTATGCAAGCATTTAATGCATATTTCATGTTGTCTGTATTATGAAAAAGCGAACAAAAAATACGAGTCAAACGAATTACATTTCATATGTTGTACTTGTAGAGGCAACAAAGGTAAATATATATACAGAGCGTATTGCGCGTGTGTATGCGAATGTGTTTGAAAGAGTCAGAGAACTTGATTGAAAAGAACTAGGAACGACAACGAAAAGCAAATTTTTGTGTTTGTGATGTTTATGGTTGCGTCATTTTAAGTGTGAATATATGTAGAAAATAGCACAAACGAGATAGACAAGAAAAAAATTGGAGAGCAAAAAGTGCATCAGTTGCGCGTCAAAGAAATACAAAACCTAAACACACACAATAAGCATGTAGCATATACCAAACAAAAATGATTTCTGAAAAGTCTCTCAGCTACTTTGAAACGACTCTCTCGTGTATCCCATTCGAATCAACTATTTAGAGTGCATTTCGTGTATGTGCTCGCTCAAATAGTACAAAAATGAGACCCATATTCATACGTTCACCATCTCTTGTTGAGTGAGAGAACTTCGATTCAAAAAATAAATGTGACATCATTTTTTTTTCTTGCTTTGTTTGCTGACTGGGTGTTGTTGAACATTTATGAAGTTACGTTTGCTCACTTTGTGCGAGCATTAAGCAATTTCCCGTGATTTTTCCGCCTCTAATTTTCATCCCATAGTTTTTTGGAACCATCGCTATATCATTTTTGAGGAAAAAATGTCACTGTTTGGGATTTACTCAATTCATTTATTTAGAAACTCTGAAATATGATGATGTTGCATTTTTTGGGCACAATTTTTTTAATTTCGCTTTACCCTCACTTTTGGCTTCTCCACGCCTTCTCCCTTTCTCTCTGGTGATATGAATATAACGAATAAAGTTGACACACAATGAGAATACTTGTCCATGAATTTGTGTGTTGGAAAATAATAATAATAATGAGAAGGATTCCATAGAATTGCTCGCAATCAAATATAACCAAACACATGTTTAAATTGAATTTCACGCGACACAGAAAATGTTGCAAATGAAATGTTCATTTTTTTTATTGATATTGAATAATTCAAATGACTTGCACTTAATAATGTGTTCAAATTTATAAAATACACAGACAAGCACATGCATTACACATAAATATCCCGGAAAAATGAACGCTAAAAACATTATGCGTTATGATAAATCAAAACAAACACACCGTTTAATTAATTAATTACTTCACCGTTGCTAGAGTTAATAACTTGAATGATTCTGTTGATTTTTACTATACGATGCCAATTTGTATGTGTTCATTCGAAAGTTTACGCCAGATAAAACATTGAATATGCAATTTCACAAAACATTCATTTGTAATGAGATACTAAATTTTTGTTTTCATGTTTCTTTTCACGGTTGACTGTTCAAATTAAATTAGAAGGGTTCGTCTGATTCGACTTCCGTCACATTGCGCAGCATAACTAGAGATTTGTCTGGTAAATTCAAATGCGAAGTATCCGAAGATGCACCGATGTTCCATACTGAAATTCGTGAAGCACGCATGCAAGTGGTTGAGCTGCCAAAGGAAGAGCCAAGCTTACAGGTCGATAAGAAAATCATCGGTATCAACGATAGCTTCAAGGCTGTATGTACCGTTGGAAAATCCTATCCAGCTGCAAATATAACTTGGTACATCAACACTAAAAAGGTGGGTTTACAATATTATTATTATTTTTTCTCTTTTTTTTTGACATGAATTTCACCGTTTAACCTCTTGATTTTGTAAATCAAATATAAAAGAATTTTATTTACAGCATATTCATTGTAATCATAGAACATCGGTCATAAGAATTAGTAAACTGAAAGTTATGACTATGAAATGACATAAAGCAGCGGTTTGAGGTTTAAGGTTTTCATGAGGTCGATTGTTTACGAGAGTTACACAATTTTTCGCATTTCAGCTCTTTTTATTAGCCTTGCCATTCTGCAATAGTAATCATATTTGATTTTTCAATCAACGAGAGCATAACGAACATTACAAAATGGCAGAAAGATGTAAAAAAAAATGTATTCGTATTCGCTTGAAGTGATGCGGCGCAATATAATATGAAGAAGAAGTAAAAGAGAATGTGGAAAGAAAAATAGAACAAAAATTCAAAACGAGCACGATATGGATATCCTACCATATATCCATATGACATGTGTGTGTCTCGGAACAGAAAAATATCGATCGATGCGTTTGTATTTGCCGTTTTTTAAGCGATTTAACACAGTATTATCTACACTTCGATGATGAATCGTAGTTTATGTTTTTACGCTCATGCAAAGACATTTATGAAGCGTTTTTATTCGCTTTTCTATCTTCTATGTAATACATTTATATTTCGTTTAAAGTACGCGTATCTGTCATATGAAACATGAATTCAAATGTAAGCCATACATATTGCATGGCTCATAGAATCCGATTTTCTTCACTTTTTGCTCAAGCAGTTTATTTTTTGTCTTTTTCTTTGTGCTGTATTTTTTTAGTTATTTTCCATTGGCCCAGCACATCTTTCGCTGTTTCTACTTAAAATTTACTTGTGTAATCGGTACTTCATTCACTCTGTCTCTCTGTGTGTTTCATCTCTTTTTCAAGCGATTTGGTGCTGTTGTTTTTTTTTTGCCAACGAACCATAAAATGCATACTGTGTTTATTATTTTTCTTCTTTTTTCTTCCATAAATCCTTTTTTCACGCCGTGCACACATTTGTCGCTTTAACGCAGAAAAACATAAGAAACATGATGAGAGAGGCAGAGAGAGCGGGAATAAAAAAAACAAAAAAAAAAACGCAAAAGCACCATGTATACATTCAACTACAAGTTTACTTTGGAAGGGCATCGGCGTCAATGTGTCTGCACATGACCATATAATCTCAGAATATCTGCATAAAAGCTGTGATACCACACTCGAATCCAGCATGTATTTCCAGTGAGCATGCAGGATATTCGGGTTTTTGGCCGTCATTGCAATGTCTAATTACATAAACACACTCATATGCAAATTAAAGCAAATTGAATTTTAAACATGCGTTAATAACAAGAGATGAATTCGTATTTGGTGTTTAATAACAGCGGCACCATCATTTCCTTGCTCTCTCAGTCACTGCTAATTGGCCAAATAGTAATTATTACCACCAAAAAATTTACTTTGTACAATGTACAGTGTACAAACAAAGCACTAAATTAATATGCAAAAAGTCCGAAAGATTTCATTATCTAGAGTGAAAAAAGTCGTATTTTTTGTTTGAACTGAATTTTTTCTCTCCATACAATGAAAATTGAAATCAACACACTCAAAAAAGATTCCATTTCAACTTTTGGCTGTGGAAAATTACACAAACGAGTAATTAAGTTTGAAAAAAAAAAAAACTTGTTCATTCCAAAACATTTGCGTGATAACTAGATACTGTTTTTTTATTTCTATTGCAAAGCATGCACAAATTATACCTAGGAAAAATCAAAATATTTTCTTTCAAAAAAATGTTTACAGTGAATTCATGCGCAAAATTTGTACTTGATTATTCGATCGTCAGTTTTTCAGTAATGCTTTTTTCCCATATTTATTTGGTTCAAATGCCAAAACCAAATATGCGCTGTATATTTTGCGAAAATAACATGAAAATTGATGAAATTATATTTTAAATTGTCATGAAATAGAATTTTTTTGGTGATGATTACAAAATAATCAACCAGAAATTTCTCTGAAACTCCGGCATTTTCTAATTAATCATTTTAATCAATGTAGCATCGAAAATATATTATTAGTTTATCTATTTGTCTATTCAGCAAAAATTTGTTTACGTACATTTTTTTTTTGGTTTTTCTTGTTTCGCATGCGGCCTCATGATGTAAAAACCAAAAGCGTTGAAATTAGTTTTGGCTCAAAATGGGGTTACAAACTAAATCATTTTTAGCTGAGTCATACGAACAAAAACCATATCTAAATCATAATAAAATATTATGTATGCGATGTACTGTAATGGTGACGCGTTTCAAAACACGTTGACATTCTCATTGCATATTTCATACATAGTTGCATACATCAATTTTGTCTGGTCTCTCTTCTTCTCTATATATCACGCGTGCACATATTTTTATTTTTTGGTGTAGCCAACACTCTCTGCACCGTATATGTTGACAGTGTTTTGTGACTTCGGGGAATATCAATAAAATTTAATACAAATATCTGTTTGATCATAAAGTTGGTATAGTGCCGAAATCAGTTTAATTGGAATGTATTCATAGCTTCGGGGCCGAAATGAATAAATGCGAATTTTTGGATTTTATGGATACGAACGCATGCATCGATATTGAACAGGAATACGAACCTGATAACGTATGTAAATGTATTATTTCGATTGAATACCACATAATAATGAATATTTGGCGTTTGTCTATGCAAAATAGCAAATATATGGATTAAATATACGTGAGCGTTGAATATTTCTTGTCCATTTGTGGATGCATTTTATAATATACACATATATGTGTGTGCGTGTTTCTGCGAATGCATTCAATTTCACACGACAACTCATCGGGCACTTGCATAAAATTGATTTGGATTCTGGCAAAAATGATTTTCATTCAAACATCGTCATTTTCATCTATAAATCGTGTTCGTTTACGTAAAAATAGTTCATAGCATGTCGTCAGCACGAGTATGAAAACTTAACAATACAGATGATAACAGTTCCATTTGATGAATTCATGAAAATTCATAAAAATGAACACTTACATTTGACATAAAATTCAATCAAGTTTTGGTGGAAATTTCTACTTTCTGCAATTTTTTGAAATATTGTTTTTCAATTTGTCATTTACATTGACTTCTTACAAAAATATATGTTATAAACGGGACAGTAACGTTTAAGCAGCTTCTCCTACATTCGGAATGGTTTTTATACCCGAAAAAAGAGATTACATCCACTTGAAAAAACATTCAATTGAAATATAGGACATATATTGTTCCGTATTCGAGTTGTTTCATCGAAGTATGCTTTTGTTACCGTAGTATTTGCGTTGTCAAATAAAACAACCGCATATATATGGAAACAATATATCTATTCGATGGTTGAAGCAAAATTTTGCATAACATATGCAAGATAAAAATGCGTTTTAGGCCATTCAATTGAAAAGCCCCTTTTTAATTTGTATTTGCTGCCATAGGCCATTTGATGTTATGAAAATATGACAACTTGTGCGCAAATATTATTCGAATATACGAGAACGATTTGAAATCGGAAAATGATTCAAGCCACAAAAATTATAATATGTTTTATAATCGTAGATAATTTTAAGCGAATCATTGACTGTGTTTCATTTCATCGTCATCATTTTTTCCATTTCAAATAAATAATTCTCCGGAAACTTGCTGGGTGGAAATATCGAAGTGAAAAGAAAAATTTACCAAAAACACCGAAATGAAATTGCGGATTTTAATTTCAATCCAACAAACTAATTGAGGTTAATGCAAAGAATAGCTCAAAAACACTCATCGCTTAATGTGTTGAAGCGATGAAATAATTGAAATAAATAATGTTGCGCTCGTAAGCATATCTGTATTTGTAATATTTGCATGAATTCCGAGTTTAGTTGTTATACAATGCAAATACGATTGTACTGTGTGGATGAATGTTTGCCCAGTTAAATTGGCGAGAGAAAAAAATGAACATTAAAGAATGAGCTGGAGAAGCAAGGAATAAGTGAATGAGAGTATGAAAAAGAGGGAACAAGACTTGATGAAAAGTGAGAAAAAAAAACAGTTTGCTCGAGCAGTGTTCATTCATTGTTCATATTTTTATGATTCATTGCTATTCCAGATAGTTTGCAGCGCTGAAAATACACCATGAAATATTCACCATATGCATGATACAATTGTATTCGCAGACAAAAGGACTAATACATTGGCAAAACTTTGAATTGACAGATGTCGACAGATGTGTTTGTGTTTGTGTGCATGTTTTATTTAGTCAAAGTTGGTAAAAACGCGTGTTAAATATTTGGGTCGATGGATCCATGCTACCCGAAAAACAAACTCATAAACAACAACATGATTGAGGTGCATAATTTAGAATTCTACTGATTGTATACAATTCACATGAACATTTGATAATTTTTGGTGGCAAACAAAAAGCTGCTCTTTGTTGCATCAATTAACTTGTAAACATTTACAGAAAACAAATGTTCTTCAATCGTTTTAGCTTGGAAGTCAACATTGAGATGCCATGTGTGCGTACGCTTAAAGCTGATTCGATTTAATTCGTTGTGTTGTTGTTATTCTTCCCAAAATTGACACATGACGATTGATTCTCAAATTGAATATCGGTTTTGGTTTTTGTTATCGCTTGTTGTGAATTTGTAGCAAGTTTCCAATGATAAATGAGAGTGAGATTCCTATTATATTTTGTCACCATATATACACACATTACACACACTTTGCAAACTGTTTTGATTCAACACACAATAATTTACCAAATATTCATATTTATGCGGTTTGTATTGAAATTTATTGTTTTGTCCTTGGTAGAAGCAGGCAAAATGTATGCAAACGTATTTGAAAATTTTACAAAAACAGACACAGAGAAAGAAATACTTGAACGACGACGGTAGAATGAAAGGGAAAATATTATTCTAAACACACACTCGATCGTCCATAATCATAACAATGGAAATGGTGTACAATCAGCAAAACATTTTTAGACTGTGTGCATACCTAAAATGCTCAATACATCGAGTCAATATGTTTATGCAAATGCATTTCAATCGAAATACAGATTTAAATCGCACACATAAGCTACTTAAGCGACTTCTTTATACACTTCCCCCACCCGAACATTTCTCTCTTCATCTTTCTTGTCGCCCTCTTTCATTCGCTTTTGTTGTCTTTGTGTAGACTTTTCAAATTTCAATGCACCCGCTCAATATACGCATCGATTCATTTTGACTTTTCTAGCGATTATAAACAGGCAAGAAGTTTAATACGAATTGTTTTCATGAGAATATCGAATTTATTTAAATGACACTCACTGTTACCATTCAATAGTATGATAATAATCCCCTGGGATTTCTCTGCAAATTTTCTATTCAAATAAAAAAAAAAAAAAAAACAAAGAAGATGAATTTCCATGACGATGGCTGTATGATGTTTCATTTTTGTTTTTCTCGAGGCCGAACACTTCAAAGTATGCATTTATATAGAAAAAAGCTCGAAACGACATTCGATCATTTAATTACCCTATATAGATTTTGAAGTGAATTGATTCGAATATTATTACATGAACCATTTATTTATAAATTTTCCACAGGACAATCATTACTTTTATTTCACTCTAAGATACTTAAGTTCGACTTTATATTTCCACTTATTTGGCGGCGTATCATATTTTTTTGTGTTCACATTTTCATTCTAATGTAATTTTCATCTTTTTCTGTATTTTCATTTAACATAAACAGGTTTACAAGAATCCGTATCAGCGTGTTGTTTATCGTACATACGAAGGTTCACCAACATTTTCATCGCTGGAAGTGCAATCAACGAGTCCAATCATACAAGATATACTACAGGCAGCGCCCAAATATAATCCAAGCATAAAAATTATGTGCGAAGTGTCCATTTTGCATGTATATCATAAAAATGTTGAGGCTAAATTGGCAACGATAAATCCATCACTGACAACCATCACACCAAATTTATTGGGCTTAGAAAAAGCGTCCATTGGCGATCCAGATAATTCACCATTAACGGGCGGCGTTGGTTGTATACACAACCATCACCATGCCATTGGTGTCTATCATGTGATTCTCTTGATAATTTGCTGTTATTATTATTTTTGTTATGATTCAATTCTGTGACACGTTTTTGTACATAATTTTGAGTAATAGCCGATGAGCAACAACGCGAAAAACACTTAACGCAGCGAAGAAGAAGAAGAAAAATTACCGTATAAAAGCACAGCAAAAGAGAATTACAAATAAAAAAAAATCCATTGAAACGTGCACCATTTGATGACAACGCATTTAAAAGGGAATGGGCATTAAATGGTGACGAAAATATTATGAAATAGAATCAAACAGAGAAAAATCAAAATTGTCACACACAAACAGAAACACACACACAATATTATTAGCCATTTGAAAACACTCAACAATGCATTTTTTTAGGCACATTAGTAAGTATGATTCAGCATTCAGGGTCAAAGCCCAGCCAGAAAAAAAGAACAAAAGATAAGATTAAAAAAAAAACAAAGAAAATACAAAAAAAAAATTAATATATAAATATATATAACTGTCATCCATGAAGCATAAATCGGAGCATAATGCCGCGAATGCAGCAGCTGCTCTCATACGAACAGAGAAAAAAGAGGATAAAAAAAAAACATAAAACAAAATGTTTAGCTAATACTTAACTGCTCTGAAAGCGAAAATAAAGAAAAATGTGAACGCGTATACAAATGCAGCAGGAATGGAAATATTAATATAATACTAAATATAAAAATTAAAGGTAAACGAAGATTAATATGTACGTACTATAGGCATAAGCAGCAACTTACACATACACACAAACAAATAAATAAATGAATGATGAAATTATTATGTTATACTGAATGATATTATATATATCGAAGAAAACAACAGCAAAATTACAATAATAAAGTAATTATTATAAAATACTATACTAATAATGGACAGCAGAAAGCGAATGCCATAGATTAATCGCATGAATGTGTATGGAAGAAAAATTTAACAACACGCGGATAAGCGAAAAGAAGAAATAGTGGGATACAAACACACAGATACACACGAACACCCTTACATAAACAAAATACAGACACAACACAAAATAACCAAAATGAGCATATAAGAATTATATATAATACCTACTTATAATATAAGTGTAAGAATGGCAAACACAGCAAAACACACACATACACACATACAGCCGATACAACAAAATAGAAACAACAAACCAAAAAATAAAAACAACTACCAAGCTCAAAAAGCCAAACACGCTAAGACACAAGGAAATAGCAAACAAATAAAATAACATAAAATTAAATAAATGTATAGAGAGACCGGAGAGTGTGTACGATACCAATGAATATAAATAAAAAAATGTTCTGCTGACATTATTCTATTATTTGATATTTATGTGGTTTTCTTTCCTATTCTTTTTGGTGTGTGTGGTTTTTTTTTGGTTTAATCTTATTTAGTCGGTTAGATTGCTACGCGTCGGATGCAGCTTGACTGCGAGAGCACACAAAACCGTTGCCATGTTTCATTTTCAAATGATTTTGTTTATAGGCCTGTGCAGCGATAGCAAAATGGCATGAGTCACACACTGCGCCAAAACTCGTGCAAAACAATTCGCGTCATTTGTTGAGGTTGAAGTGTTCAAAGTACCCAACACAATCGACAAAAATGACCAACGAAAACTGTAAGTTATCGGAGTGAATAAGTGAATGAATGGATGTGCAGATATTTGTGTTACCACTTTGTAGCTAGTAACATTTTGAAAAGTGCACAGGGCTTTGAAAATTCTATTGTCCAGACAATGGCACAATGGTAATAGAGCCAAAGAGCTTTGTACGTTCAAACAAATGCACATCATAATGGATAATTTTTCCGCTTATCTCTTCGGACTGTGTTGGCTATATGACTATGATGGTCGCAACATTGAATGGTCCCTCTTTTTTATACTCTTGCTCTTGTTCAATTTTGATGGTTAATAATAGCACATTTACGTCAGGCCAAAAGGAGAAACGAACGAACAAAAAAAATATATAACAACAATGACCACTAGCTCTGGACACATCAACATTGAAACACCACTATTCTCTCTGGCGTCTCGCTTGAAATGTACGAAGCGACTAACAAACAATATACAGAGAACGAAAAAAAAGCTCAACGGCTGAGCGCGTGCAATGATTCTTTCTCGTTGTACACACACACACACACACACACCCATCGACTAAAAAAAGCATCTATTTATACCATATAAATTGTAATTTTTCATGCGCTTTTTGGCTATTTTACTCGATAATCCCATTCTATTGTGAAATTTATCCAAATAATATCTCTTCACTTTTATCTCTATGTGATGATTCGGAACATTTTTATTGGATATTTATTTAAATTGTTTTGTTTTTCCGTTTTGTGTCATTTCGATTCCTTTTCAGTCGTTCGCTTCTACTTATACGGCTGTCTCTTTTTCCATTTTACCAAATTTTCTCTTTTTAACTGCATTCAATGCATGGATCGTGAGGCGGAACAGATATTGTATGTTGAACATACAATAGTAACCTAACATTCAGTCGTTGTAGTTCATCCATTTCGTTCATTTTCATTTTTATCCATTTTGTCATTTGATTTTTCATCATATATAAAGATTCTGTTGTGCGTTGCTTTTCGTCGTCATTTCTCTCCCTCTCTCGCTCGTTTTTTTCTTCTGCGTTTTGCACGTACCCGACACATTGTTTTTTGTATTCGCAGCTGAATGAAATTTTGCTGGATCAGCTTTCGCCAAGATGCTAACTAAAAAGAGAATAAATAGAACCGACAACAGAAACGGGAAAAATCACATCAAATGAATTGAAACGAGATATTGTTTGTTGTTGTCTTTACTTGGACATTTTCATGATTCGTTGTTACTCTGCTCTCTATATCGTTCATTGTTCAAAGATATATGAATATGCTTCGTCGCCACATCGCAATATGAATATTTACGGAATTTGCAAGCGAATACGCAAGTAATTCGAATTTGCGAATATAGAAATAACTTGATCAAAGCGACCGATAAAAATGTTGTTTTTCCCCCTCACTCTATCCTGCACAGTAAATTATGCATTTATTAAATCGATACGATATTGTTATTGTTGAGTTGTCTTTCTTTATTGGTTGTAACGTATTTTGAGCTGACGCAACAATTTATTGTAGCTGAAACGAATTGGTTTGATTAATAAGCTCTGATATATACAGTTAAATCACCGTAAGGTAAGTTAAATTCACATGCATTGTATGTGAATAAAATGAAATAAATTGCTTCGAAATTGTTTTCATTTTTGTTTGTTGCAAGACAATTGTCAATAAACTTTAAATTTGAAATTCAATATTGCTAAAAACTTATTTGTATGTTTCTTATTTAAGAGCATTAAATCCGATAGGACAAAGAGTTTAGTTTTCCTTTCTTTATATGATGAAATTCTTCGGTTTTTAAGAAACGACCGAAAAATATCCGTGAATCCATCGAAGTGACTGAATGAAGATGAAACAAGTTCGAAACTAATACGTTTAGTTTTGGTCAATTGTGTTTGGCTCTTGAAAATAAACGAGTTGAAATGGTATATGTAGCGAAACATCGATGTATGGCGAATGCAAACAATGCTGGCAACTTTTGATGAAATAAATAAATCAAATGATAACATACAAACTATTAATTTCTCCAAAAAGCAACTTTTTAATTAAATTATTGTGTAGATTTTTGCTTTTGATGCTCTTTGGCTTGACGCAAAAGTTGCTTAGAAGTTTTTGGTTTGTTTCACTTACAATTGAATTGTGTTCATGTTGTCTGTATATTGTCTGCTGTGATGCAATCATGTAGCCGTGTTTCGTTTGTCGTTGCCGATTTTAACAAAATGCTATTTCGGTCTCGTCGACTGATTTTCTCTAAAATTTGATTTTGCAATTAATAACCACTCACTGTTTTTGCTGTTATGCACCATTTGTGAATTTCAGGATCGCTCTTCTTGTCTCAAGATGCTTTTGTCCCGCACGATCACATGAACTCATCATCAATAATAGTTCGATTCATACAAACTATAAAATATACGAATACAAGCAGTGCTTTTTATTGATACAAAACATAATACAGTTATACATATTGAAAAGCTTCAAAATTTAATATCTTGCGTAAGATGCTTTAAATATTTGTCCATCCTCTAGGACTATTCAATGTCCATCAAAAAACAAGAGGACACGGGTTTTTTAGTATTATCCCGAGAAACTTTCTACAGCGCATGCACTAATACAAACAACAAAGTACACACAAAGCTAGGATGGACTCCCATCGAACGCGCTTTTCCTGAGTGACGATTTCACAAACGCTAAAATTTGAAGAAAAAAATATATTCTACACACACGCAAATTCATTAATTTTTTGGTAAAACCATTTTGATATGCAATATATGAATATAAAACATTCGATTTAATGTGTTGGAAAAGATTGTTCGATGCATTTGATTTTGGCTGTGCTGAATGTCTATATTTCATTCAAACCATCCCGACATTCGAATGTCATCAACACAAAATTTTACAACTTGGAAATGCATAATCAACAGAAAACACAATAATTTGAATGTGTAATACATTGTGTATGCAATAGTATGCACACAACCACATTCACAATGCCAAACCAGCTGTTTCGACAAATGACACAAAACATCGGAAGCTATGCATATCATTTGTATTTGCTCGTCGACACAATTCCGAGAGACAATCAAATCAACAACAAAAATTCTTATCAATAAACTATATTTTATGCTTTACAGAACGCATTTGGTTTGGTTTAATGACAAAACAATCGCATCATTGCAATCGTTACAACGGCATTGTTATACAATTTTGGGTTGAACCTTATTATTACCACAAAATTCATTTTCTATGCAATATTCAATTTCTATATATTTGGTGTAATTTCTCTCTGTCATTATTTTCTCTGCTCTCTCTCCGAACCCCCCGTCATCTGGAACAAATTGCGTTGCAGTCTTCTTTCATTGGAAATCACTTAAAGTGCAGAAAATTCACGTGAGAAAGAATTGAATGGGTAAGAATAATCATGAGCTCCAAACATTATTTAAAAAAATACTGATACAAGACGATGAATTAAAATAAATGAGATACTAACTCGCGTTTAAAATAAATCTGATACTTGAAAGATATTGAAAATAAAAGTGGTATGTATCACATTTATTTTCAATTCGTTCAAGTATCAAATTTATTTTCAATTCTGGCTAGTATCTCATTTATTTTAACTCATTTGTGCAATATACCGAGTCTCCGAGAGTTTCATATAAGCCTTCCCATGTAGATGGTAAAAAATCGTGAAAAATGAAAAAAATAATCAAATTTTTTTTCTTCGATTTACAAATACTATTCAATTTTCTGTACCATCTGGTGAAATCAGAATGAAAAAAATCGCATTCCCTATCACCCAAATCACGATTGGCATTCGGTCACTATTCAATAGCTGTTACATAGGAAGTTTATATGAAACTCTCGGAGACTCGGTATAGAGCACTCCAAAAGTGAAAAAAATCCAGATCGTGATTTGGGTGATAAGGAATGCGATTTTTTTCATTCTGATTTCACCAGGTGATATAGAAAATTGAGTAGTATTTGAGAATTGAAGAAAAAAAATTAATTATTTTTTTTCATTTTTCACGATTTTTTACCATTTACATGGGCGGCTTGTATGAAAAACACGGAAGACCGCTGAAATGACACTGTTGTACGTCCGTACGTATTTTGCATTTGCCATAGACTAGTGGTTAGCGTGCCAGGTTTGTGAGCGTGAGGACACGAGTTCGATTCTCGGTCAAATTTGGTCCGGTATTTTTCCACCGTGATTCGCTCAGGAATTATCAGTGGTTTTATGCGGAATAGATTTGGCCGGGTTTCGGGCAAGTGGAGTGCTTCGGAGGGCACTTAAAGCCGTCGGTCCCGTGTGTGTGCACAAAGAATAATGGGTTCAGCATAGACACACGTAAAATGGAGTGCCTTTACGTTAGGTTGGTGTCTTGGATATGTCAAATATCCAATACGTCAACCGTAAAAAGGTAGTGCGACATCTCTGGTGAATATACCGGTAAACCAGCGATATGTGCATTCCTCCATTGAAATAAGAAGAGCCCAACGCCATCTAGGAATGAATGGAATACTTGTGACTGTCACGACAATTGACTTGAGAAGAAAGCCCTGGTCACTGGCCCTGTACGGAGGCTAGTTACATGGCTGCTATAAAGTGGGCCACACCGTGGGAAGCATTCTCCAAGCAATCGAGTGACAGCACAAGTCGGGTCGTCATGCAATAAGTTACGAAACTTGAGCATCGAAGTGAATAACTCCCCGTTTAATCCAATAATCCAATA